CTTGTTTCAGACAGACTGAAATAAGGGCCTGCATGAAGGGCCAGTTTAAGATAGAAAATTATTTTTTGAACTTTGAATCATGCAAAGCTGCCATAGGGGAGTCACAGAACTACAATATATGGCTGGAAATGCAGTTTAATTGCGTAAACATTCTTCCTCTCTGTGCAATATTCGTGCATGTCTGTCTCCACAGCACCATCAAAAGCCCCTACTGGCAACTCCTAACAACTTGAGGGACCTCTCGAGCTGTCCTAAATACCTGTGAGAGTAAGATTCTTACCTTTAAAAAATTTGATTACTTGCTTTTATACTTAAGTTTGAAAGTAGGAGTAAATTTCATGAAATCGCAGCACTTAATACTAAAACGGCACTTTGAGAAGCTTGATAAATTCCCGGCCCTGGATGGTGAGATGACAATATAATAACACTTTATATATTAATAACCTAAATGCTATATTGTTGTTATATATAGATATTTTTGAGAATTCCCTCTGGTGACACTTAAAGGTTAAAAAAGTTGTGGTGGTAGTTATTTTTATTTTATGCCTTTTAATGCTTGTATGCAAACCTGAAATTTCTCAAGGTTTTTATGTGCATCTAGCTTTTCAATCTTTTTTTGATTATAATTTTGTCATATTGCCTTTCAATATGCTATGTAATAAGCATGTTTTCATTTTTTCTCTTACAAAATTCAACATGCAACATTAGAAAGTACAACTTTATAAAACAATAAATGCAATGACAAAAGTAAATCACAATGTTTTATTTAATGTATCATCAATCCTACTTTGGCTTACAAAAAGGCATTGATAGTCAAATACTCAGGAAGTATCTGACAGATGAATCTGTTTTATTAACCCTTTCATGCAAGAATGATTAAAACCCAAAGTAAGTTTATATGATTATTTTACTTTTAAACAAGTGAAAAATTATCAGTCACAGAGCAAAATGTACAAGAACACACAAACATTTTTTACCTGTCTGGTTTTCTAAGAATAAAAGGATTTAACAGTTATTCCTGAGGTACCTGGTGCATCTCTTCTTCCCTCTGCTATTTTAAATTTATGATGCAATATCTCAAACAAAGACGATAATCAAACGGACAATGCTTTGGGGTCCGCCACATGGTGGTTGGGATATGGCACTATAATTTAAATGCTTCCAAATATTTGTCCATTGTAGTGGACGTCATGCATGAAAGGGTTAACAAAAAAACACAAACAATTGTCAGCAATGGCAATTAACATCTTGATTTACTGTTTAAGTTGTCTTTTAGGCTTTAAATTAAATACACATTATCAGATGTGTACGGAGAAGAGAAGAACCTTGTTAAATTCTCAAACTAAAACATTGTGCTGTGTTGCTTGTACAGTTTTACACTAACAAGAACCTAAGATAATTACACTGTCTCTAGTGTGTGTTCAGGAAAGAGCATGTTTACACAGAGATACAAACATTCAGACCGTACAGGCTATTCAACAGCTTTCAAATATGACAACAAATTCTTCACCTATTTTAGGAAATATGAGATACATTGTACTGTGTACAGTGTATAAGAAAGCATTTTCCATCACCTGCATTTCAAAAGCAAGTCAAATTTGAATTCAACATTAAATAAAAGAGGGTCTACCATGAGGAATTTTAAGAGATTCTTAAGCACTGCAAATGATTTTGCATAATTATAACTGGTTTTGCAAAAATGTACTTGATGAATTCAATAAAATTAACTGAACTTGAACTGTACCAAAGTCCTTGCATTAACTACAATTATCATCAGTTAAATAAACGCAAAAATGCAATACACTTATTATATGAAAATATTTTATATCCACCCCACAAACAAAAAAAAAAGGTTACAAATATGGGTACATCTTCACCACTGCATGTCTGGTAAAATAGCTCATTTATGACTAGTATATTATTATAGTACATATTTAATAGAGGAAATTAGCAAGAAATTATTTTACCTGAAATCACCTCTAGTGCACTTCCTAATAAGAAAAATTATCAAATATTTTCTCGACCATCTCCTGTCTAAATGTACTGTGTACAACAAACAAAGAACACATGGGAAATGACTGAATGACACTGATGTACACACTTCTGTTGTGTGCAGTCTAAACAAAATTTGTGTGAACAGCTACTATTTTAGAGATATTTAATCGTAAACTTGACGGACATGTCTAGCATGTTGGAAAGTAATAAATACACATATTTCTTTCCTGGCTGTGTAGCTCATACAAAAAAACAAGTGTTATGTACAAGGATGTAGATACACAGATGTCACGAAGTCAACATGACGTCTTTCAAAGAGGTTAGAAAAAGAGGTTTTCAAGTATTTAAATACTGTGATTAAGTTATAAAATCAAAACTGATGAATTACAACTTGCTAAAAGAGAAAACAAAATAAATGTTACAAAGTTGCATATTTTACCTTTTATAGGAATATAAAATTAAATTAAATTTAACAGTAACAATACTGATTACAAAACATTCACTGCTGCCCTCTGTATAATTTCTACCCATTGTTCTTAGGATGGTATATCCTGTTAGTGACAACATCAGCAATAACCAAAGATCCTAAGAGTTACCTGTCAAAAATGGCATTCCAACCATTTAAGATAACTGGAAATTAACAAGCCGATTGAGAACATCACAAACTAGAAAGATATTAAATACTGAAACATACTGAAACAAATTTAGTGCCAATAAAGGGACAGAGCATGATAGAAATACTTTTTTTTAAAACTTAATTAATGTCTTACTTATGTGTTATAGCAGAAAGCCTTGAGGTGCAAGCTTGTAAACAAGTTGTTGCTAGTTTAAATACCAGGACCATGCAGGGAAATCTTGGTCCATAAAGTTAATTTGAAAACACTGTATTTTCTTTAACTTGCCAGAGAACCATTGAGCAAGAAGTTCAACACTTAAGTGGCCCAGTCGTGGTAACACATAAAGAAATGTAATTTTACTGGGAAGCTCCAGGGTATGATTGTGTGAAGTAGGAAAAACCTGAAATCGTAGAAATAATTCATAATAACAAAAGTTATAACATTATCTAGCAGTCTTATCTGACAGAGCATCAAGTTTCCAGAACTTTATGCTCTGAAGTGGTTTTACTAGGTAGATTTTTGGGTTTTTGAAACACTCAACATTTATTAAATGTGTACACCTGAAATTGTGCACAAAAATAACCTCCTATGATTGCTGTCAACATAAAGCAACCCAAAACAAAGCAAAACCAGCTGACAGACATTACCCAACACTAAACACTTTTTCAGTAGTATTTGGCCCTGAACGCACCTCAGACAACCAAACTTAAGTTAACTTTTTAAATAGCATACTTTGCAAATGTACTTTCCGATATGTTGTAAAGAGACGCCACGTTGTGGTCAGTGAATCTGCTGTCTCATGTGGAAGCAATCTGTCCATGCACACGGAAGCGGTAAAGACACGTATATTCCACATGACCCCAGTTAGTGAGGACGCGCAGCTCCACAAATCTATACACCACGTCACTGGGGTTCTGCGGGGGGAGGGGGGCACAGAAGAAAAGACAAGAATAGAGAAGAAAGACAGAAGAGAAAGACAGAAAATGTAAGAGAATAGAGGAAAACAGTGCAGGAGAGATGACGATAAAAAAGACAAAAAAAAATAGTCAGTTGTCAGATTGTTTGCATTTTCACAGTCCACACAACAGCAAGTAGTTCGGTAAAAGTCCAATTCATATTTTCTCCGGTTTAACTCACAGGCAGCTTAAACGTCTGTGTTGGCTCTCCATTTTCATCATAAGTGAATGTCCCCAGCAGTGTTCCTTCTTCTGTGTCATCTCTCATTCCCTGAGGAAGAGAAATCTACGTCAGAGCGGTGAAGAAATCAGAATTGGTAAGCCGCTCTGAGACTTAAATTTTTTCCCCCTTTGGTTTAATCACAGAGTGACAGGGCTTTAAAATTAGGGTTGCACGATATCGTCAAAATGTGATATTGCGATACTGATCATGAATATTGCAATAACGATATTCATTTCGATATTGTTAAACTCATGTAAAAACACAAGTTAATGAGCCCTGTTTCTGAGAAATTACCCATTTGATCTCCGTTGTTTCGTTGTCTCTCTGAGCCACACTATCTTCTTACTTTTGTCCTTTCTTTTCTTTCATTTTTGCGACTCGTTTTGCTTTTCTTTCTTTTCTTTTTTTCCCTTTCTCTCTTCACTCACTACTTTCTGCGACATTTTCGATATTTGACTGCGCAACGTGAAATTGCAATAACGATATTCAGTCAGCCTTGCAAAATAAAAAAAATGGAGGGTGACCAACAGATTTACATTTTACAATCTGAATTATCATGATTTAAACAAAAAGCAGTCTCTGAAAGCTTCCTCAAACACGATTCAGGTTTTATAACCATGCAGCTTCATTAAGCAGATTACAGGCTGTGTCCTATGTAAGCTAATATCCAACATTTTCCCACCCTCATTGCCTAATACCTGTAAGCTTTTAACAATTGCAAGAGCCAAACAGGCACAGCATTTTCTAATTATTCATCTTGAGGTAATGAGTTTAAAAGAACATTATACTTTTATTTTATTTCTAAATGACATTAAATTACATAAATGCCAAAATACTTTTAAAAGCTGCTATCGTCTAATTTTTTATTTTATTTTAACTTTTCTTTATATCTATTAATGAAAGAGGATTCAGGCAGTTTAGGTAGGTTTGTATTTGCTAATAATGTTTTGTTAGAATACACTAGAGCAGAGAGCGTGCAAGACATTTAATCCAGCAAATCACTTTTTATACAACACCATTCATGGGCAGCCATACTGCATTTCTAGGCTGGGAGCACTCACATAGACTTCAAAGTCTTTGGGGGCAGAGTCGATGCGGCCGGTGGGGGAGTTGTAGCGCGGCAGGTGGTCCAGTGTCACATGAGTTATCGTGATGGGGTGAGACAGAGAGATCACAAGAGTCCCCTGGACACCATGAAATGCCCAACATTTCCCTGGGAGCAGCACTGGGTAGCCCTGTCACAAAAAAGAAGAGACAGAGCTTTTAGTACCTGCCCAAGTGGTAAAACACTGGATAATTGTTTTCATTCTAAGAAACATTGAGAGAGATGAGCAGACGAGAAAAGAGAGAAAGGTCAAATGTCTTAAGAAGATAGATGAGGGTGGAACGTAATGGACAATAAGTTGTTTAGGGAAAATAAAACAGATTTGAGGGGATAGATAGGACAGACTGGTAAGTTAGAAATAAAACACAGAGAACATCATAATACCTGAATAACAGTGCGTGGGCTTTCAGATGGGTACCACAGAGGGAATCCAAACAAGGTCACACATGCTGAACGAATGCGATATGTCTCTGAACACCTTGTACTGATCACACTGGCACCTATACACACACACACACACACACACACACACACACGTACAAATAAAAGATTTCCCCTTGTGTTTCCCCCGTCAAAAATACCCAAATATTTTTAGTCAAATTTGTTTGTTTTTGTAAGTGACTACAGAGAGAATAAATTATTGGTAAATAAAACCAAGTGACAGCGACATGAAGATATTCCCAACCTTGAGTCTCTAGTGCAAAGTCGGCAATTTTGTCAGCCATGGGACGTCCACAGTCTGAGCAGCTTCCTTTGTCACCGAGCCTGACAGCATCATGTTCCTGATTCACATTCACATACAGTACATATCGTGAGTATGTGTGCACCAAGTCAAATGTATCAACTTACGCCATGATGCAGACACACATTAACACTGAAATCAAATCATATAAGCAGTATTATTAAAAACGTATTAATACCACCACATGGCAGAGAAATAAAGCAATGACAGATTTTCTTGTGCTGTGATTATATTTATATGGGTTTGAGAGTTGGTAGGTGGTCCTGAAGATTATCTACTGTATCCCTAAAGCAACCTTGATGCGGTCAGTGAGCCACTTCTCCATGGCCTGCTGGAGCTCTGGGGTGAGACGGTTGTGGATGGGGTTGGCACTGGTATCAGGACAGGGGCTGCAGGAGGCATCAGCTTGAAAGATGACCACTCCTGGGACAGCTACAAGAAACAGGCAGTCACATTATAGCCACATAATCTAAAGGAAACAGGTCAGGTTAGGAGATAACATGAACAAAACACAGCATTAACGAATGTCTTTTGTGTGCAGTTCTACCAACACTGTTACCTTGGTGGTCTGGGCCTCTAAAGCTTGGAGGCTGAGGCTGAGGCTGGCAGCAGCAGAGCGGCTGTCCGTCTGGTAATCCACCATCTGCATGCCTAACCGAGCAAGCTCCTGCTCCAAACGTAGCCGACTGTCCGAGTCCACAACCTCAAGCTTGGCTTTCATATCCTGAATGTCTTGCTGAAATCTCTCCTTCACCTGAGAGACAAATATATAATAGGGTCAGTCATTACTGGACTCATGGTGAGATTGGAGGAGTGACTGAGTGAAGAGTTGGGTGGTGTCAGGGAATCTGAATACAGCTATGGATCAGTCTTGAGGCTCTGGGGTGTAAGAGGTTACTGTTGCAGTCAAATTTAATGCTTTTTAAGACCTTTAAGGGCGCTTTCACACCTGTAGTTCAGTTCATTTGGTCCGGGCCAAGTGAATAAAATGATGCACTGTTGCATTTTAGTTCTGGTCCGGTTCATGTTCACACTGCAGTTTTACAAACGAACCAAGAGAAGTAACCATGACGTTACACAGACTTACAGGTAGCTTGTTGATTGGACAGCTTTGACGATTGTCATCCTGCATCATCATCACGTAGAACTACCAGTTTTCTCCCAATAAGTAAATATACAGCCTATTACAATATACATTTCAACTGGAGTTTTGGAAAATGTTCTTGACTGACAGATCGCGTTCCTTCATCGTTTTGTCGCTATGGTTACACACACACACACACACACACACACACACACGTGTGGCTTTGATGGTGTCATTAATTATGAGGAGGGCAACACTCCAGTCCAGCAGGTGGCGCTAATGCACCTAAAACGGTTTATTTCTTGTATGTAAAGTATGTAGGCCATGTAATTGTAATGTAACGTAGGTAAGGAAATGTGCAAGTTAAAATACTGACATAAACCCTGATAACATGTTTTGGGCGGTTTTGTGTGTGTTTTGGCGGTTTTTGAACAGTTTTTGGGCTGGAATTCATCAGCAGGATCTGGCAACGCTGCAACACTCAATGCTTGGCTAGCTTCTTCTCCTCGTTCTATATAAAACATCTACGTGACAGATGCTGTTATAAGAGCAGCGTAACTCCTGTAAGGAATCAGGAGGTGCATAGCGAGTCTTTGATTGGGCCGAGTGGCAGAAAGTGACTGTGACAGCGAGCAAATATTCTAGAAGTGAATGTGAAAAACAGCATGTCAGCTTCTCAAGACCAAGAAACGTCTGTCTGTTGTTTCCCCACTGCTGGAAAAGTGAAGCCGGTTTGCGCTAGCTAACGTCTCCCCTCCCCTTCAGACTGCGCAGCTGAGCAGGGAAGCTTATAACATTACAGCAGGCTACGTTTTATGGCTAAATGTAACTTTAGCTCAATTTATAGAAAGTAACTGGTAGCTGTATTTTATTACTGCCTACCTGTCCAATGTTGAGAACATCATGTACAAACATTTCTGTCCTGTACAGACTGATTCATCCTAAATAATTTTTCAGATGAGTCTGAAAAAGTGGTTGTTAGGGTGGTGACTGGAGGAGCTGAGCTTAGTAAAGCAAATTAGTGATGCAAACTAGTCCTTTTAAGCTAATGAGGAGACGTTTCTTTTGGGATTTTAATGTGCAAATAAAAACCACCTCAGAAGGGAAGAGGTTTCTCATGTTGCCTATTTTTTATATTAATGTCTACAGATAAATGTCAAAAGCTGTAAAATCAAGACACAAAAGGCAAACATGAACAATCGTATAATGATTCTGAGGTCATATTAACAGGGTTTTAGGGGGTGATGCCCAAAACATGCTGTGCCTTAAATGTCTAATTACTGTGGAGAGCATCATAACCAACCAAATTACTTTCCCCAAATCTAAAGGTTATAGTTCCTCCCCAGTAGACTGATCTTTGGCTATTGGTTATTTATTATCTGCTCTAGCTTTTCCAACTATTTGTTCAGAGATATGGTAAATATAATTGCCCAAGATGATGTAAAATTACATTTGTCACTGTACAACGTAATCCCTAACCCCTGACTACCACCTGACCATGACTACCACCAAAACATTCCTCTAAAGCTCACATAAAACTATGGGAAAACACTGAAATTTCAAGCTATTCTAATGTGCACTTTGAAAGACACTTTAGAAAGCTACTTTAACCTGTAGTTATAGATCATTTTTTGGACTTGCGCAAATGGAAGGAGGATGTGATGTATAGCTGTTGGAGCTAGACAGATTGATCAGATCTTCCTCCAACCACTTTAACTTGCGTCTCCCAGTCTTGCAGCCACGACTGACGATAATGGAACATGACACGCAGCCAGACGTCTTCAGCTAACGTACACGTAACATATGAGTTATATTAATGGCAGGGCTCTGGCATTGTCAAATACAAAAAAAAAATAAAATCATACAAATACACACTCAAAGGTGTTTTAGGCGACAATTTTCCCACCAGCCTTAAACGCACCATCGGCAAATTTACTACCTACAGCAAATTTGCGGTTTAAGACAGTTTAAGATCTTAATTTCCCTGATTACATTTTAAGACCTTTTAAGACTTTTTAAGGAGCCGTGGGAACCTGTGTTGAGTCTTCTAGATGCATCATGGGTCTAATTAAACATTACATAACTGATGGGAAGTGACCACTTGGAAGCCCAAGTTTCACTCTCATACACGCTCTCAAGCCAGGTTTCTAAACAGAGTAGATGCTCAGTCTGCAAATAACAGTTGATGTCTGCAACAGCAAGCTAGATAACTGTTCAGGATTGTAAAGGGTTTGCATTTCCAGAGTACTTTAAGTAAGTTAAACAATAAAAAATAATAAAGTCACAAATTTATGTAGAAAATCTGCCTGTAAGTCTCTGCAGTTCCCCATCACCACCGCTAGATGTTACTCTACACAGCTAGGTTTTAACCCTGTTGTTACTTCCATCCTGGCTTCTATCCTTGTCTCACCAGGCAGGACTTTTCACCACACACTGAGCAACTTTGTTAACTACAAGAAGAAAGGAATGGCAGAAGACATAGATCATAACAGAGAAAGAAACTGGCAGAAACAGAGAGCGAGAGCCCCTTACCTGGGAGAGAAGGCGTTCCTGTTTTAACTGTAGGTCGTTCTGCTTCAGCTGCAGCTCCTCCTGCAATAAACAGATAAAGGTTACTGTCAAAACACACAAACTTAGATTCACATGATTTGGGATGAACAATTAATTGTAATATTATCGAAATAGCAATATGGCCAAATGCAATATCCAAATCACAGAAGCTGCAATTTTTTGATAAAAGGTAAATTGTGTCACAAAACAGCATTATAATGAAGTAATGCAGTGCTGCAGAGACGCCCCAGCCAACAAATCTTGTTATCTAGATGTAAGAAAATAATGTTTGTTGGTAAAGTACCCCAACAAATGTTACTTCATCATGCTTTTGATATTTTATATAACTGTAATGCAAAACGTATATTTCCTACAAGTCTTGAATCATATCACAAATCGTAATATCTTCAAGATAATCACAATATGATTTTTTTTACATATGGTGCAGCCCAACATCTGAGGCATCAAAGTTATTT